CAAGGCCGCGTTGACATATTGCCCGAAAGTTGTTAGTCACAGCAGGTCCTCCAATACGGCTTCAGCCGCACGTCTGGCAGCTTCCGCTGTTTGAAAGCCATGGCGTTCTGATGTGCTTGTGCGTGAGTGTGTGTGCGTGTGTGTGTGTGTGTGTGTGTGTGTGTGTGTGTGTGTGTGTGTGTGTGTGTGTGTGTGTGTGTGTGTGTGTGTGTGGTGGGCTTACGTCCAGATTCACGCTCTGGATGGCGGCGGATCGATTCCAGAGATATTCCAGCGAGAGGGACACAGGCGGCGAATTGTTTGCGTCCCCCTCTGAACACCATTTGTTCCAATTTATACGACGCGTTCGTGTGGAGGACGGGTAAATACGGTGTTAATTATCCTTCCGGTTGCGTCAAAAAATGATTTCCGTGGATTAAATGCGTTAATTAGCATCTATGTTTAGAATCACACTGCGGCAACGCTTAACAAGAAGCCCGACCTGCTGTTACCATTCGACAGATGTTCGAAACGGCGAACCGCTGCCGACTGGCAATCTTTTTATGTCCGGGAGCGAACATTTATTTTTTTTTTGAGGGTAATGTTGTCGAATGAAATTGAAGGTTGACATTGGATAACATTTATTCGGGATTCGTCATTTAGGCCACTGGTGTCAAACTCAAGGCCCGGGGGCCAGATCTGGGCCGCCACATCATTTTATTGGGCCCACGACAGCAAATCAAACATGTCGACTTCTATGATTCTTGCTAAAATTTGGACCAAAACTTTCGTATGTAATATATAAGAGATGCATTGTCAGTTTTCTTGTAACCAAAACCCTCATTACAGTAACTTAAACTATAGTTGAATAAACCAGTCTTCTTGACTTCTTTATATGGTTTCGCAGCCATAACGGCCCTCTAAGGGAAATGGTAACTTTAATGTGGCCCGCGAAAAAAATGAGTTCGACACCCCTGATTTAGGCAATGTGAATATTTATCGGGGGGTGAATTCCTCGCGGTTAGCGCCAGGGCTCTATCCCAGCTGTGTTCATCTGGGCTGAGCAATTAATTGAATTCAAATCAACGTCGCAATTTTCAAATCCCAAAGTCTGCAATTCGGATAAAAAACAACGAGAAAACTGATTGGTAATTTTGATTGGGCGGTTGGCTTTATTTTTAACCCTTTGAGGGACAGCGGTTACTACAGTGGAGAGCCTAGCATGCTATCAGGTTACGGGTTACCATCAATGGTGCATGAAAGGGTTAAAATGATTTTTTTTTTAAACTTATTTACAGAGCGTCAAGATATTTTCAGGGCGGAAGAAGTGCAGTCCACATGTTTAGATATTGTTTCATGAAACCCGAAAAGTTGAAGTGATATTGCCGCAGATTTGTTTGCGTTGTTATTGTCATCTGATTGACAGCTTGCTGACTGATGTTGACTTATTTGATTGAATTTTGTGAAGTTGTTGTGTCGTGAACGTTTCAAAACTTTGATGTCAACATTTTGTTTTATGATTATTATTTTGCTTTACTTGAGTCTAGTTGTGCTCAGGACCTTGGAGCATCGGATCTATGCGCAGCAGCAGCAGCCAGGTGCCTCACTTTCCACTCCAAGCGATGCAGAGATCAATGAGCCGGGCCAGACAAGGCAAACGATGGCCAAGTCCAGCCGGAGACGCCCGCCGTTGAAAGGAGAGCCAATCCCCGATAAACGTATTCCTGTCAACATCGCGCCGACGCCTTTTTTAATTCAGGCCCGAGAGGATACACGGCAAGAAGAGGCCCCCCGAGTCAAACTCAATTCGTCTGCGCTGAGAAAGAGACGTGACAGGGGCCTAATGCGGGTCACGGACAGTCAGGGTCGGTCTGGCAGCAACGAATCACGGAGGAACAAGGCAAGCTGTGAGATGGCTTTTTTCTCTTTTATTTACCGTATTTTCTGCACTTTTAAGGCGCTTCGGATTAAAAGGCGCACCTTCAATGAATGGCCTATTTCAAAACGGTTTTCACATATAAGGCGGACTGCATTATTAGGCGCATAGAATAGAAGCTACAATAGTGGCTGCGGTTGCGCTAGGCATCCACTAGATGGAGCTACGCTCAAGAGAATGCAAGACAATTCAATACAGCTTTATTTATTCAGCGCAAGGCCATGCAGAACTGCTCACAAACATGGAAATAAAACAATTAAAAACGGCATTACAAAACAATAAATGAAAACAATTGATTCGACAAAAAGGCCACAAGGCGCTAAAAATATCCTGGGATGTATCGCTTGTCTCTGGACTGAAGAATGCAACCACACCTCTGAACCTCGCTCGCTTACACTCACAGGGCAGGACATGACGTTGTAGGCAACTTATTGAAACTGATTTTCAAAACACTTCACCTTCAAAAGGAGCAAAACCAAGCACAAATGACAACCGCGATACTCAACTGAATTGGGTTTGTCACAGCGGTGACAGATTTATTGACTTCGTTTTGAAACCCACGTGTGGCTCTTGAGCCAAAAAAAAAAACAAAAAAAAATGCTCATTTTCTTACTACAACACAGCTGTCATGTTATTTTTCAGACGGCTAATTATTCGCCAAGAACAATCGCTGTCTCCTGAGGCTCCCTGTTTTGCAAAGTTGGAATGACGCAGTCCCAATCTGCCTAATTAGTTCAAATATCTTCCAGTATCTTCGGCAACTAAGTTTCGAGATCCAGTTTATTTATTTATTTCGATTTTTTTTTTATCTGCATTGTACAGTATTAGTCCCAAAACAATCCAGTTTGAGAGAGACGGAGTGTAATACATCATTGTCTACTTTCAACAAATGAGATGCTGACAAATCATGTACGCAGTGCCAATGCATTTACATGGAAATGAAACCCCCAAACGGATTCATTACGGGCAAAAATACTTTTCGGCTAATGACGTTACAGCGATGAATGCTGATGCTTTTTAGGACGGGCCAAGATAAATGGCATCAAACTAAAGGCTATTGAGCGTTTTTATACGTACCGGCTCGCACACCGAGGGCGCCAAAGTCGGGCGCGGCTCGTTACGCCGATCGTTCCGATCGAAGGCGATGGCGTGAAGTGGTTTGCTTCCGTCGCTCCAACGCCAAAGCTGCCCCGGTTCTCGATATTGGAATCAGCAAGGAGAATGTGGGGGCGGCTCAGGTGATATTCCATCTGTTCCACTCACATTTATAGACTGCCGAGTCATCAATAAAGTCGCCAGTCGCGTCTTTCTTTCGTTTCACTTTTGCACTAAACCCCTCTATGGGACCTTCACATGGCAATCGTTAAGAGCGTGTTTTTTTTTTTTTCCCCCCCTCTGGGCTGCCATTAAGGTCTAATATATCAGCTGTGCAGTCAATTGTACTTGACAGGCAGCTTCTTGAACTTGAACTCGGTCCGTCTGGTGACAGATAACGCGTGCCTGTTTGTTCAATTTCCTCTCCCCGAAATGGTATCGCTCCAGAGCGAGTTATTATAAATCACGGCGGATGCGTTCATCATGTAACTTGTCAGGGCGGCGCGGTGCATGTGTGTGTGTGTGTGTGTGTGTCTGTGTGTGTGTATGTGTGTAAATTTTTTTTTTCAGAGGGCACAAGCGAGAGGACAAAGAGGACAGGCAAAAACTTTCACGAGAGTCTCCCTTGTTTGTTGGTGATAATGTCCACTTCAATATAAGAGCTGGTTTGAATTAAATGTTCACTTTTACTACTTTCTGATACTACGATTCAAAACAACAGCACCAAGTTACAGCCGGGTCTGACCCCATCACAACTTTTTATTTACCTGGTTAGAGAAAAAGTTAGGCACTGCGGCTTAACCGAAGATAAAAATGTAAATCGGTGGAACTCACATTTTGGCGGAACGAAACCAAATCGCAACAATATAATATTCGGAAGACTACTTTTAATTGCCTGACGGCCATTTTAGGCTACTCTTCCCACCTCCGGTCGTATCTGCAGAGACCACATGACACCCATTAAAAGGTCAATGAGGTTTAACGCAGCAGTAATGAAAAGGTAAACCCCCTACGTGCCCGACTGGAGAGAGGTCACGCTCCGCTCATTTTTAGCAACGCTACAGGGAAAAACCACATCCCTCGACTGTCCTTTTAAACATGGACAGAAAAATTACAAATAATGTAACTGAACCTAGTCGAGCTGTTAAGTGATCAAATTGCGTTGTGAGTGCTACCTGTCCGTCACAGAAGGCCCGGAGTGAGTGAGACGCCGATTTGTCTTGACACATTAAGTGGCTCGATCCGATTACAGTCATTCACGTTTGTCTGGCCACACCAAAGTCTGGCTTTTGTTACTTCAAAAGAAAGAAAGAAAACCCTGTGACCTTGGCAGAGTCCTTGGCTAAAACTGTTGGAAGAGCTGACAAAGCTTTATCGCGACCAGCCAAATGTCATTTGTGCTGCTTGGAGAAATATCCTGTATGTCACATGAGGAGCCAGAAGCGGACGGGAGACAAAAGTGACGATGTAAAAGTCATTATATGCAAAAAATTCTAAGTAGAACACAGAGAGCAATGATGGATGCAGCAGGCCATCGAAGACTTAGCATTCTACCAAACTGTAGCTGAGTAACTCAAGCTTATAGAGAGAAAACCAAAAAGTGTAGCTGAGTAACTCGAGCTTATAGAGACAAAAACAAGCCAAGCCCTGTGTGACCAAATAAAGGGAACAAAGAGCAAAGCTCATTGTCACAGTCACAACACTGTAATCGTTTGATTTACACAACAAAATAACATATCTGAATCCATTTTCTTGACAGTGGCCAAAAGGGGGAAATGTGATTGGACGACTCTCCTGTCAGTCACGCCCATAACAGACCATTGACTTCAACAAGCACTTTCCAAATATGACATTTAAATTCAAAACACTGAAACAGTTAACACATCGTATTTTAGAATAGTGGTTAAAGTAGTGTCACGCATAGCTAATTTCTGTCATAAATAACAGCAGCCATTAACACAAACAAACAAACATTCGTGGCAGGTCTTACCTTCGACGACAGCGTCCGGTGCCGGTGATTCTTATCTCTTTCTCTCATCATCTTGATAGGTTATCCTTTTCGGTACATTCGAGGGGGGAGCGAAAACACTTGGAAAAGTCATGACAGGAATAAAAAAATGTTTTAAAATCTCATGGCGAGTCTTGACGTGTCCTCTCATTCACGTTTTGCATTTTGGCTCGACAAAGAGTCCATTTTCCTGATGTGTGCTCATTTGTTGACACATAACTCTTCTAACTTCTCTTTGTGTGTTTATTCATTGAATTCCTTGTAAGCGACTGCCTTAGTGTTTCGTGTATTTTTTTTCCGGGTTGAACACGGTGAAAAAAAGGACGACGCTGGACAAACGACGTCGTAGTGCCGGATGACAATTACGGCCGGTCGCCTGTCACCTGAGCAGCTGTTGCTGGACCAGTCAGGTGCAGTCGCGGCCGTCATTAGTGTCTCAGCCAATCAGCTCAACGTCCTGTGTTAGTGTCAATAAAGTTATTTCAAATGACGACTTTAAAATGAATATTGAGTGAATTAAAGCAAAATAAAATAAATCATGTCATACAAATATACATCTTAAATCCCTTTGGTGTATTATCATGTCAGATAAATAAATATTTTAAATCCCTTGGGGTCCACCTTCCAAAACTGACATCACTGAGCGGCCATATTTTTTTTTTCTCGGACCAATCAGCACTTCACCCTATTCTTCAATCCTATTGAATTATAAATTCTTCGCCTCTCAAGAATATTAAATACATATATAGTTCAATCATAATCCTTTTAAATAACGACCTTTTTTTTATCAAATACTTTGACATATTTGATATCTTGCGGGTTCCACAGCTCTGGAAGTTGACATTCACTAAGCAACCATTAATCATTTCCCGCATTATTCTGGTTCATAAGTATTAAAAAAAGAGCGTTCAAACAAACAGCATGCAAGGAAAACAAACTTTATTGACATGGAACATTAGCCATAATCTGATGAAGTGTAAAACACTCTGAGCGAGGCAGAAACATTGGGCGTAAACAACAACATTGCACGAATAAAGCGCAGACATGATTTATTGCAGTTGCACATTTGGTAGTTTTTTTTCTTTTTTTTTTTTTTTTAAACCAGGAAATAAAGCAGGAATACCTAAATTATTCACGAGCCATATAATAACAGTGGTTGAGGTGCAGATGAGAAGAATCTATTGTTCAAAGGGATTTTTTTTTTCAGCTGGATGGAAAATGTCAGTTCAAGCATCTGGAAAGTAGAATTCCACCTTGAATTATTTTGTCGACTAGCGAGTCCTTTGCCTTGGATCGCTTCAGGGATCCTTTTTGTAGTGCAATGTTTTTTTTTTTTTACTTGCTGCTGGACATGTCTCATTCCACCACAGCAACAACAAATTATATATGTTTGGGGATTGGGGGGGTGGGCGGTGAAGACCTTCAAACAGCTCATCAAACGTCTCCGTCTGCCTCCACCTTTTTTCATATCGGCTCCTTTCGAGTTTGCTCTGTGTCTCGACTCCCTGGAAGCGCGTCTGCTCACACTGTATATAATCAACCAACGAGTTCCCACTCGGCAGTCTCAATGTTAGGAGGTTCATCACCTCGTAAGATTTGCACAACATCAGACCAAGAATCACAAAAATTCTGTTAAAAAAAAAAAAAATAGAAACATGTTAAATATCCGAAAGTACTCAGTCGAATCCTAAACAGGGGCGGACGTACCCCCGAGATTTTCAGAACTCCCGGAGCGGCTCATGAAAACACCTTAGTGAGGTTTTCTTCAATTAACCCTTTCGGGGACAGCGGTTACTACAGTGGACATCTTAGCACGTTATCAGGTGACAGGGTGCATAAAAGGATTAATAAAAAAAAAAGATTTTATGTTTTGAGTCTTAATTCACAGAAAAGCATCAAAAGGATTTTTTCGGGTGTCCCCATTTCCATCTCATGCCCTGGATTATTTCATCTTTTTACCGAGCGTGTGCCGCCATGTTAAACGTCCGCCTTGATTTATTTATCAAAGAAATGACGAGCTGTCAGTGTCGCTACCTAATGTTGTGATACCTAAATGGCGTCTCGCTTACCTGTCAATGATGAACACGGAGATGTGATGCTGATAGACCTCCTCTTTCAGGGAGTCAGGAAGTGGATTGATTACTTGTTGTGCATCCTTGATAAACTGCAACACAATCAGTTTAAAGCGAATCGTACCTCATATGACCGCGACAATTTTTTTTTTTTCTGATTTGGAGCCACGAAACACCCACATCGACAGAAGTATCAAAGAAATGATTACATTTTCCCCTTTTAACCCTTTCATGCACCCTGTAACCTGATAACATGATATTCCGGATTTTTATGAGCTCCCCTCCCAGTATTTGAGACAAAATCCAACCTCTCTCCCCAAGATTAGAAAATAAAAATGAGAAATCATTTAGCCTCAAAGGGCTGTTACTGTGCATTTGAAATTCCAAATGGGCATAAAGTGAACAAAAATTAGATGAAACCTTTCGGGGATAATGGTCACTACAGTGGACAGTTTATGGGTCAAGGCTGTTTTCTCCTCCAAACATTTTATGGACCACTTCCCCTCAACTGGCCCTGAAGAAATACAGTAAACAAATAAATGCAATTAAATCAGCCTCAGTAAGCAGTTTTTTTTTTTCGTATTTGACTCTCGAAAAGTGCCCAATGTGCTTTTTTTTTTCCCCCTCCTTTTAAAGACTGTACACGCACACACCCAAGCTGGCCCCACAATGTTCATATACGAATGAAAGTCTCACTAGGCTGTTATTTGTCCATTTGAAACATTCATAAATTTCTCCTTTTTATGGACTTTGATTTTTCACACACTTTAAAAAAAAAAGCATGAAACTTTCCGAAAGGAAATTTCCCATTCAGAGATGACTTAAGCGTCTTTTTGACACCAATTAAAAAACAAACAAACAAAAAAAAAAGTGGATTTATTTTTAGCACTTTTTTTTTTTTTTTTTAGATACTACATGTAATTTACAGCTAATGATCAAAATTTCGGGGACAGCGGTTACTACAGTGGACATCTTATGTTTTCGGGTTACAGGGTGCAAAAGGGTTAAAATATAGGCCGATAGCTCACCAAATTCTGAAAGATTAAAAAAATGTCTCAAGTTAAATACAACTGAACTGTAGGTGCAACGATTCTACCACTAGAGGGAGACTTTGGGCCTCATTGCGAGATCAATCGAGATGGTTAAATATGATGAATTCCAGTATGTTCAAGTGTGGAGTTCAGGATACAGAGAGAAGGGGGGCCGGGGC